CATTTGGGAGGGAAAAAAAAGGGACCAGGATTGCTGGTCTGATAAAGCCTGGTGAAACCACTGAGACTATGGTCCTTAGCTGCCCTTTAGGTCTGGAATTGAACCCACACCTGTGGCTTCCAGCCAAACAAAAGACAGGCATATGAGTTGAACTTTTACCCGAGGTAGATATACTCCTTGGAGAGAACAATCATGGAAGAAAAAAAGGGCTGTGTAAGCCCAGGGAGACAGCTCAGGGGGCAGCAGTGTATAGAGGGAAGGACATAGGGAAGAGGTAACTATCGGGAGGAAGTGGGAGGGGAGTTCTTGCATTGGGGTAAATTGTGGTCAATGTCATGAGACAAAGTGTATCTGAACTGCTGTATGGCAAGTCAATTTGCTCTGTAAATTTTCACCCAAATCACAATTAAAAAAAAAAAAAGATTTACAGCCTTGGAAACCCTGTGGTGCAGTTCTACTCTGTCCTACAGGGTTGCTATGAGTCAAAATCAACTAGATGGCATTGGATTTGGGTTTATCCCTAACATTACCTAGTTGGTGTTATAAAAGGGTTTTTGTTGAATGCATATGTGAAAGCCATCTCTTTTCCAGGCTTTAATGGCAAAAAACAAAATGCTATGCTATTTTCTTTTTGAAAGCCTTCAAACCACAACATTACTGCATTAAAGTTTTCTCTGTAGTCCCTAAAACAAGATGAAACACCCCTTAATAGAGGAAATGCCTCACCTACTTCCAGCTCCTTTGATAAATGAAATATAGGAACTCACAAAATATACTTCCAAAATTTAAGAAAAAAATCCATCTATATTTTTAGTGAATGCCTGCCAGTTACCAGGCACTAAGCACTTAAATTTGTGCTTCTGAGTCTGTTTGTTTGTGGGGACAGGGTTGTATAACGTGCAATGGTCCTTTGCCCATTTTTTCAGAGAAATAAAAAGAGTCCAGAGTTCAAACCACAGCTCCTGTGATCCTGCTTAACTTAGTTCACTTCTCTGAGCATAAGCATAATGGTGTTAATGCCATCTTCTCAATGGATTACTGAGTACTGAGAGCCATAAACATGCTTGGCACATAAGAAACACTCAATAATAGACATATTTCTCCTTTTCCATCTCTGGCCATGGTTTTGGACCCTAAAAAAAAGGCAGTATTTTATAATTCTCAAATAATGGCACATGTTGCTGCAGTGACTGGGTTGTTTCACAAAGCAGTCTTTCAGAATAGCAGACGGGGAAAAAGACAAAAGGCATGCAGGTAAGAATAATTTAATAAAATCATACATGGGGTTGGGGAG